TGGAAATTTGCTTAGTCAGCAGGTTTGCTGCGGCGGGGGTATTTTATATAGTTATTGGCAACAGAGAAAATTCAAAAAATTTTAAGTTACAAATTCCCATATTATTTATATGGATAAGATTGTAAAATGTTTTAGTTTGCTTATGGATATATTCTGATCAAACTTGGTAAATTATTTACTTTAAATACTGAGCTATTAATATTTGACAAAAAACCACACTTTTATTAGTTTCCCTCTAGCAACGAACCTAGGTACTTGTTAAACCTAATGTTAATTTAAACTTAATTGAAAATCAATTCAGGCAGATTGAAATTTGCTTAGTCAGCAAGTTTGCTGCGGTGGGGTATTGTTCTACTTTCCGGTATGGAGTAAACCAGTTTTTTACTAGGTAGTGTGGCAAAACATTATTATTTAGGTGTTCTGTAAATAACAAACCATAGATTTGACATAATTGTATATAATTCACATCAATCATTTAGGAATTTAAATTTTGTATTTTATAATTTTTCATGGTTTTAAACTATATAATAGGATGTTCAAGGGTTGAAATAGACATAATATATAACATCTCAATATAATGTATCTTTTATTTTCCTTCCAACCAACAGAAAGTTACATTTTAGCCTGTTAGTAAATTGTGTGACAGGGATAGTACGGAAGCTATTTCCAGTGTTTGTAAAACAAAAGACTGCAATGATGGGCTTTTTCTGCACCTCTTGAAATATGCCTGGTGCAATCTAGATTTCAAATTTTAAAGATCAATCATTGAAAACTGTTTAACACAGATCTTGTTTACAAAGGTTTTACTGTGCCCATTGGTTAATTATATCATTGACTATTACTGAAGTAGACCTATCTATATGGACCATTTCCTAAGTTTGACTTCGTAAAAAACATTGTGTATTCAACAGAATTTAGTAATTTAGATCCGCGCAACCTGTCGGTATTTCACACCAACTACGATTATTATAAAAATTCTGGCTAAAAATTTAACATGGGGATGGAATGTCATATGCAGTACTACACTACAGATGTAAGACTAAATAAATGTATTTACTGGGTTTAAGTAAAGGAACGAGTTCAGGGCAATGTATGTCTTAAGAATTCCTTATTGACGGTAAGAAATGGTCCCAAAAAGAACAATGTTGGTTCTCTGTATGTGTTAAATCCAAAACTACCGTAGATAAAAATCACCCAACCGACCTTTCACTGTTGATTGATAGAACCAGGATCCAAAGTAGCGCTACTAAACTTGCTTGTTGTTACAGGAATATCTGTGGTCAGAAGTTTATACTTTTTATTACTGGTACTGTAATTCAAGAGAAATTTCTGAAAAAAAACTTTGTTTTATGGAGATTTTCGCTACTCTACTAAGAACCTTTAGCGAAGTAGCTATTACCGTAGGTAGCACTGTAAGACCTAGGCATGGGACCGATTTACTTTTTCATTTTGATGTCTCCAGTGGCCAAAAAACACCATTCGTTAAAATTTATATATATACTAGCAGTTACCTGGCGCAAGTTGCTACGCTAACAACTATTATTTTCAATGGTAATTTGTTCTTTACGATAAATAGTCCCATTGGCGTTAGTTTTAACTCTAAACAAAACGGTACATCTCTTATTGCTGTACAAGTTACAGTTCAAAAGTGATTGTCATTGTTGTTCAAAGGTTTATTGCGGACATTTTCCATCACGAATGTAAAAAAACAATACACAACGTTTCGGGATCTGGAATCTGATCCCGTCTTCAGGTGAAAAAACTTAACTAACACATTACAACTAACAATACACAAACGCCCAACCTAAGTTGGAATACACTACAGAGGGTAGTAGTCAAAAAATATGCACTGTATAGCAGTCAAGTCATGATACAACATGCAATTAATAACAAATCACAAAACACTATAATCATAATCTATAAAAGGTTTAACGTAAAAAACTCACACAATGGAACACTAAAAGCGATTGGTCAGCCATGTTGGTTCAGTCTCATTGGTGGAGTCATAGCGTACGGTGCTTTTAGTGTTCCATTGTGTGAGTTTTTTACGTTAAACCTTTTATAGATTATAGTGTTTTGTGATTTGTTATTAATTGCATGTTGTATCATGACTTGACTGCTATACAGTGCATATTTTTTGACTACTACCCTCTGTAGTGTATTCCAACTTAGGTTGGGCGTTTGTGTATTGTTAGTTGTAATGTGTTAGTTAAGTTTTTTCACCTGAAGACGGGATCAGATTCCAGATCCCGAAACGTTGTGCAGGGGTGCCCACAAGGGGGGGCTGTGACGCAAACTGCGTCATTGAAATTTTTGGGGGGGGGGTTGCAAAAATTCAAATGGGGGGGTGGCTAAAGTTAATTGCAACAGTGTTCAACGTGACGACAATCAAAAATATTTTACAAGTCACCAGATAGAAAGTGGATTAATTAACGTCAATAGTTATATTATTGAATTCAATTAGTTAAAATGGGATTTTAGGATAGTTTAGGATTCGTGTAGGAAGTTATTATTCAAGTTAGGCAGACGTGAGATCTAAGAGGGAGGGCACGGAATAGCTCAACTGCTGAGATAGATAAAGATAACGTGTGGTACAGACACGTCCAGCTACACCGCGACTCAGCACAGAACGCTTTGTTGACATAAAGCTCATTAAAATACAATCAAGTAGCATAGGCTACAATACTTTACACTATTGTGTAGATACTCGATTACCTGACCTAGTAGGGGGCGGGGGAGAGAATGAAAAATACAGTTAATCCCATATAGTATAAAAACAGATGACAAACCAAACAAAACTAAAAACCAGCCATTAACGTCATGATTTGCATTTTTATAAACGAAATTCAATATTGAACAATCATTATTATTGTGCAATTATGACATTTCAAATTATTTATCTTGGTTCAGTTGCACAAACGGCAACGTTTAAAATTATAGCTAACTCAAACTCAACTAATAACTAGCCAAACACTGCATTGCTATAAATAACTTAAATATTAAACCTTAGAAAGTGTTATAAGCTACTGCTCATGATAGACAGATAGGCTACCGGTAGGTGCTGTATCACAACATAGGAATTGATAGATAAGTAATGAAAAAGTGTAAAATTATATTTAGAAATAGTAAAAATACGAGAACAATCTTGTTATTCTTTTTCTTTGTTCTTCTGTCATTTATTAGGTTTCTCTTCAATTCATACACAAAACTCAACATGTCGCCATTATTTAAGCCTACTCAGTACTCGTTACCCAATCAGAGCCTTGATTCCCCAGCTGTTGTATCTGAAATCTGTTGTAACATAGCGCACAGCAGACAGACTGAGCAGACGATTGTTGGCGCAAGCGTTGTTTCTTGTTTCCATTTCATTTTCATCAAAGGAGCTGTGATGTTTCAAAAGGGAGGGATAGGGGGTCGTTAAATCAAGAGAAAGACGCTGACAATTCGTTAAGCAGAGGTTACGAACGCTATATTCTGGCAATAATTCCTTAAATTGAGGTGACTTATAAAACTTTAATTTTATTTATATAGAAAGATAAGTTTTCCAGTCCTGTACAACACTGATTCACGGTCTTTCCCCGGTAATCAAAATTCAAGTACAACTTGATACACACAGAATCTCCAGTTCCCGACCTGGATGATGGCTAGTTATTTAATTTAATTTACAGTTTTACATATTCCCGAGATAAATCAAACCTGTTATGTGAGCCAAAGCCACACGGTTATTAATCTCACTTGGTTTTGTATTTGCTTACAAACGTGATCCGAAATGGTTAGGGCCTACACAGTATTTCTAAACAACATTTTAGGCTATGTAAACATATCGGTAACAGCTAGAAAAAAGAATCTTTATCAAAACAGCTGTTCGTAATTTCATATATGACGTGTTCTCTTAACAGATTAATAGCATTTCATAAATGACGTATGTAGTAAACATGGAGAAAAAAACTAAAAAATCACACAAAATTGTGTTTTTGATCGTCCGTTATTTTATTTCCAAAATAGTGAGGCCATATTTAATGGCTATGGGCACTCTCGCTAATCCTGTGAATACAATTAAACCATTAGAATCATAATCGGTACCGTACTCTAGTTTTCTTTAGATGGCTGTGTAAAATACCATGTGGGCCGTGACAGACGGACATAAATTGAGATAAGACATGTTTCAACTTCTTTAATGTATAGAACGTAAAAATAACCCAAAATATGTATAATTCTGAGCAATGTACAGACAAAACTACATCTTTATTTATATAGATTAACTGGGTTTGAATTTGACATTTGATATTTTATTTTATGATCTCATTTGAATTTTTAATATCTAAGAAAAAGTATAAAACTTCTTTTAGTTTTACAAATAATGCTGGGCGGTGGAATAATCTTTCTCATTTGTTGTGTACCTCATTTATGGTAGGGGGGGGGGGTTGCGCCATGAGTCTAGGGGGGGATGGGCACCCCTGCGTTGTGTGTTGTTTTTTTACATTCGTGATGGAAAATGTCCGCAATAAACCTTTGAACAACATTAACTCACCATCACCAACAATGAACTTCAAACAAAGAATTGATTGTCATTAATGTGTATTGCCCATTAATTATTTATGTAAGCAAAACTTGGAGACAGAAAACATTCTGCACTTAACTGAAATATGACCAAAAATGTACAATTCTCTCCCCCCCCCCCCCCCGCCCCCGCCCAGGTAAAAAGGTTGGGAACCCTGGCCTTAGAATGTTGGGTTTACCAACCAGAACGTCAGGTTTCTAATCCTGTCTCTGAAAATAGATTATAGGCGTAAACCCCACGAGTTCACATGTGCCAGAGCTTAGTGGGAGGGGCCTACCAACAAATGAAAAGTACAACTCTGGTGAAAGTTGACGGAGTCACTGTGGATTCATTGCAAGCTGCAACTCTCATCAGACGTTTTGCTACTTTCTACCTATAAAAGGTATAAAGTATCGGTTTAAAAGAAATCAGGGCTCAGGGGTAAAAATGAACAACTGCAAACTTATAACACAACTGTTATTATTAAATCAACATATTTCCATAACCTAAGACTATGATTATCTGCCCTAGTGTATGCAATATACATTCTTGGTAGACGATATCGGTGTTTTATACACATTTACAATTTAGTATTTACAGTTAAACTGATAACAAGTATTATTTACTGCTATTTATGTACAATTAATATTATAATAATGTTACAAATACTATTACAGGCACTGCCCAGGGCAGAAAAATATGCAATGTCTCTTCTAACAAAGAAAAAGTGATTATATTATTAGTTTGGTTTGAATATTAATAAAAGTTGCTATCTTAGATATACATGATTCAAGTGGAAGACAGGGTCAAGTAAAATAAAAAGTGTGATGAAAATAAGAGTTCTTAGAAAGACATGCACTTCACTGCCTGGTGTCTCGATAAATTGCTGACTAGGTTAACTTAGTTTACAAAACAACAACGTTGTTGTCCGAGTGTAAAATAATTAATAAATGTTACACAAACAAAATAAAGTTTCATGGTTAAGTACAAAATTTTACACAACCTTCAAAAAAACTCTCAAACCCTCAATTATAATATATATACCAACCTAAAACACAACAAACAATAAGCTACCAAACAGCTAAGAAGAAACGTAAAATAAATACAGAAGAAATAAATAGGGATAGTGAAAAAGTAAATGACATACTTTCCTATATAGGAGGTATATTAAGTGAGTTTAAAGAGTTTAATACTAAATAATTATGTACTGATATAATGTTATCACAAATTATGTTTTTCTTAACTATAAAACCACTAGTGGCCGTTCTGTCGCATGATCAAATGTCCATCATGTATTCTAAATGTTAATAAATTTAAAACTAATCCATTGGTAAAATAAAATAAATTAGTTTGATTAATTAATGCATTTAAAATTATAAACGATGAGCCAAAATCTTATATAAAGCTAAAAGGCAAAGCAAGACTAAACTACCTTCCAAATGTCAATTTAAAATCTTGGAATTATCAGAGAGCCTAAAATTAATTGAATCATGAGAACTTTGATTCTCTGACAATATTTCCAGCACTCTTTTTGAGCATACTTTTAATAAATTGGTTAAACTAAAATATAAATAATATATAAAATTTTAATAAATATATACCTAATATATCTTTTAACCTACATGTTGGTAAATGAAATAATATGAATAAATTGTTTAAATAAAAGTGCATTGGATAGTGTTATAAAAATACAAAGGAAAAGTTAACCTAAACCAAATTTAAAACAACAATAAGCAGGTCAGTTGAATACTATTGTTTGCAGTCTTGTGGAGAATGTTAAAATGAACATACTGTAGTAATACTTTTGTTCCACTGCAAGGATAAAACAGATGCATTTTGTTGTATTAAAACTGAAATCCACATTTTACTACCAAAGAAATAACGTTTTATGTCTCGTAACAACCCAAATATAGTTTAATAATATAATTAAACAATGAAAACAGACACATCCCTCGATTTAGCAGTTAATCTGCACTCGAGTAATAATTTGTATAATTTTAGATTAAATTAAAAAAGTTTAAACAAAATATAGAAAAACATAATGAGAAATTTTATATAATGTTAATTTAAATAACTAGGACTATATTGATGAATATGAATAACTTCAAAAACTAAAATGTTTATCTTACCTTCTTTATCCAATGTGTAAGAAACTTGGCATTATTTTATCAAAGATCATAAACTAATAAATTTATTCAATAGATGTAGGTAAGACAAAAACTTTGTTTCCTTTTAAAACATGTTAAAATAACTATTATTGTTCAACAAAACATTTACAAGGGAAATGTAAATAAAAAGCCATCTGAACAAAAGCACATCTGACTAAACAGGCCCAATGAAGGCCACAAAAATTTTTAGTAAAAATAAATGTAAAAATACTAATCAAGTCACAAAACATATGGTTTTGGCCTTTAGGCCCAGCAATAGTTGGATAAACAAGGAACAAATTTATTGAAATAACTATGTGTTAAAGAGCTGTTTTTGCTTGCAATACACATAAGATTTTTCCTACCACCATTACTGACTTATGGGAACCTATACACAGATGAACTTTTAGATGTATATAAAATGTAATTTAGGTTATGTTTGCTTTTTAAGTTTAGGTTATTTGCTTAAGGGTTGTTAACTAACATACCTGATCCACGGCTGTGGTTGGTGTAGAAACGACAACTGTGAAATCAGCTGATTTAATTAGCGGGAATGATCCATTCCCGCTCTAGGGCGACAATAAGCTATTTTGGGTATGGTAATGTGACCATTTCCATGCAGTGGTAGGAAAAAATATAATAAATAACATAATCTGAAATAAATCCTAAAAACTAAATTATTAATCAAAATACCATTTTTTTTGTTTAGGTAACATTTTTAAGTTCTTCCCATGTAGTAAGAGTGTACAAGTAAGATTATTTATTGATTTATTGCAATGTATATTTACTTGTATTTCCTTTTAAAATTTTTGTAAATTCATCTTGAGAGAAAACACTTATTTTGGAAATGGAACTATGATGATTATATAGATGAAAACTAACATGTTAAACAAAACCCTCAAATGGTCAATTAACAAAGCACACTCTCAATACATGAGGAACTGTGATAACAAGGTCAATAACAATGTATGCTAGATAGAAGACAGATGAGGAAGAGAGGCAAGGGGTTACCCTGATTGAGCAAGAGGGGTGGAGCTAAGTTGATGAGTCGCTAGCAAGTGGAACTGTTATCTCTCGGCCATTGAAGCTGGATGTGTTGGTTTTGGGGTGGTTGCGGCGCCGGCTGTTTGGCTGTAGGACAACATTTCGATAATTTGTTTGAAATCAAATCCAACAGTATACATAGAAAAATTGTTTAGTGTACAGTTTACTTGATAATCCAATATTTATGGGTTCGGTATGGTGTCAGAATACCAAAAACTCTAAAAGGTAAGAAAGATTAACTGATGAAGCTTCGTTATGTTCCCCATGTCTCAGGTCTGATAAAGCTCCTATGCTCGATAGTGGCAAATATAACCTGAATTCAATTGATTTAATACGATTAAGTGCTAAACAAGACAAGTTCAACTGAGAAAGTCAAACACAGAAATGTTTGATGCAACACACTACCCAATATTCACTACTATCATAGCCATCTCTCGTATAAGGCCGTGGCAAGCGAAATCTGGCAACGTCGCATCCGAGGCATAGTCCAGCCGGCTCCCGCATGGTATTCGTAGTGACGGTGTGTTATACCTCATAAGTGTTGTCGTGCCGGGGTGCTATAGTAACCACACAAAAGCATTAAAAACTGAGGGATATATACAATTATTTCACTTCCTTCTAGAAGGTTCTTGTAGAACATAGAGTAAGGGTTTAGTAAGGGTTTTTTTTTATATATACACTAAGCTGTCTATATATATTTAATACATACATATATTTATACTACCTAAACCTTGCCTACAGGTATGAGTGTGGTTTTTTTTTTTTTTTTTTTTAAGTTTTCCTTTTTGCTTTTTCTCTGCTTTGTTAATTTTTATATATTTTTTTTTTCTCCGCTGCATGTTTTACAGTTTTGTTTTGCAGTTTTTTATTTATTTATCTATTATGCATGGTGTGCTCTTTGGACATTTGTATGTGCTCTTTGGACATTGTTTTGTGAATCAAGAGGAATGCATCTCTGTTTTGTATTTTAGTTTAGTGTTAGTGACTTGGCCAATTGTTATAAACTGAACGGCTCAATAAATCTTGAATCTTGAATCTTGAATCTAGAGATGAGTGGTTTAGAGCTGTACATTTAAAGCAGTAAGAATATTAGCAGACATGGACAAGCAGAGAGAAAGTCACAGACCGAAATTCCGTGAGCTAAAAATCCTAACAATTACAAGCCTGTACATCCTAGCTGTGGCTACTCTTGCAAGCAGGCTACAGCTCCAACGAGGTATGGATAGGCACAGCCATAACACCCGACAGGCTATGAATTACACACTTCCAGTCCATCATCTAACTCTTTTTGAAGAAAAGCCTTCCTACATGGGAGTGAAGTTCCTGAACCTGCTACCAGAGACAATAAAAGGCCCCAGCATAAGCAGCACCAGACAACGCTTATCGGCTTGGCTTGTGGAGAGACCATTCTACAAAGTTGAGGAGTTCATGAACTAAAGAACATCACCGATGTTCCAGTGAGGACTAAACAACCCTCATAGTAATAACCATCACTACCGACAGCTCCTTAAAGCCCAACAACTTTATGCTGTTTTATAATTAAATCTCTGTAATGTTTGACGTCTATTCTGTACTCTATGTTCAAGAATAAAGTATTCTGATTCTGATTCTAAACTTAATCAAGTAACACGTTCTGTTTAAGAAAATACTTGTTTCCTACCTTATTAAAACTAAACGTAAAACATATTGGTTAAAAAATATAAAACTGAAATAGCAATAGTAATATAGTATGAACAAACAGTTTTTGTACGTCTTTTGTATTGTATTATCAAAATGAAAAATAAATACACTATTGATACTGATAATTTGAAATATTTTAAATAGGCAAGATGTTTTGAAAAGCTTGCGCAGTTGTGTTTTGTACATTTTAATATGCATGTATTGCAAACATTTCCTGTTCATTTAGTCAGAGGTGTAGCAGTTCTTTTTTTATTTCTACCTTAGGACAGTTCTGCATGAACATTGAATGACAACAATTTTAAATATGAAACAGCTTTGCATATATCGCACTTCAGTTTTAAATTATAATATATCATCTATATATTAATAGGCAAGCCTGTTTGTTTAAAATCTTTTTCCTCAGCTCGTGTACATAACAGGGAAAATCTACGCATACCTACTGTTAGAGATATTTTTCGTAGATGTGCAGAATCCCTTTATTAAATTTAAATAAACTCAAAAATATAATTTAAGTTTTTAAAAATTAACATGGGCATTATGGGATGCCATGCTGACAAAATAACAACGAAATGAACACTACATCAAAATAAATGGAATAAATTGCAATCACACGTTTTATTTACAGTGTGGGTTAAAAATTGAGAAGTCTGAACATTACATATTTTTGGTTGAGATTTCGACCAATGGACGACCAGTTCATAATAAAATGTAAAAGAATGACAGGGGAGGCCTAGGCCTATTTTTAATAGTATATTTTTGTTACAAACTCATTAGGTTCCAAAATGGTTCAGTTTTTTTATTACAAATGTAAATCGCTAGTGCATAATGTTCAGGGTTGGAATTAAGTGGTGAATATACATTTATATAAACATGTATTAATTAGAATTTTGTAATACAATCTGAAACATTTCATGCTAAAAATGAATCTATTGAACTGGTTGTTTTCATAGCTTTCAATGCGAATAAGCGCAGTTTTGGCAAAATGTTGCACGTTTTGCCGCTGGCGGCAATACCTGGAGTTGGACCACATCGAAGGCTGCAGCCTTATACTAGAGACGGCTATGCTACTATTTACTGCTAGGACGACAGTACAGCACAAAATTGGCCTTTATTACTATCGAGACCCATGATTTTACCAACCTGTTCTGCTGTTGTAGACTTTACTGAGGTTCAAGAAAGGTTGTGGAGGGGAGAACTCTTCTCTCATGTGGAACTTTTCGAAGAACCTTGCCTCCAACTTGCCTAAAATTTATAAAATTATTAGAGTTTTTCTGCAAGGGGGAATAAATATAGTTTTCCTCAACACTTTTCGATACATCCATCTTTTATACGGTAAACATTTGCTCAATGGGAAACTGAATGGAGTAACTGGTTGAAATCAATCGACATTTTAAAGTCTTACTAGATAAATTTAAATTACCGCATTTGTAATATTTAAACTATTTCAGTTTAAATACATCATTGAACAGTGTTGCAAGGTGTATTTTTTATTTAGCACAACAACAAATTAAAGGGCTTTATTAGCAAAACATACAATGCTGCGAATTTGAACTCAAACGGACAACCGAGTCAAAAATGGTAGCTGTTCAAAGATATCTTGAATCTGCCATTTTGAATCTTTGAACGGCTGCAAATGTTTACTCAGTTGTTGTTTTGTGCTTGAATTTGCGGCATTGTAATCTAATAAAAAAGACCTTAAATTTGATGTGCATATCGACCTTTGCTTACGTTTACGATTTTCTTCCGATTCCTAGCGGATGCCCCCTGAGGAGGTAGCATTGCAAATCCAATGAATCTTTCAGCAAATGAAAATAATTATAACTAAATCATAAATGTAGCATACCAAACTACAACTGTTGCTTATTCTTCATAAGAATGACATAAAGATTGTAAATTTACAGTTTTTAAGAGTTTTCTCCTTAATTGTTAACCATACAACAACACTTCAATATACTTAATCTTTTTTCAAAATAAATTGTTAGGAAAGAAATTTCAAAATTGGGAAAAAACATTTTTGCCCCATAAACTCCTTCATCCAAATAAAACCCTGTTCCCAAGGTCCGATCATGCTGGTTCAGATTCAAATTACTGTAGGTTTACACTTTTGTACCAAATTTAATCCAAATCAAATTTACTTGAGTTATTGTGCAAACGGACATATAATATAGGTTCGCCTCTGGGGACATAAAAAAAAATATAAATCAGTCCTGGGTCTAGGTCTTACCATGAGGCCTACGGTAATAAATAATAAGCTATATGGAAAATTTGTTGAAACGAATTAAACAATTGTATTTTTTTATAACAAATTACATTAATTCAACAAATTCTATCAGACACTGATTCATTCAAAAAATCGTAGGTCTTGTTACAAATTAGTAAACTAAATTTGTGCTTATTTTAAATCAGTGGGAAGCTTACATTTTTCCCTTTAAAATATCCTTTAACATTTATTTTTAACTTTGCAACATCTCTCTGTTTGTTATTGTAGTTACAAAAAAAAAAAAACCAAAACTAAACTGAAAAAGGGGGGTCCAAATGATTAGATGTTCCAAATGGTACTCTAACTACTTCACTTTTACTGTAACAATATAGTTGACAAAATAGTTATCACACTGGCATGTAAGGAGGCAATACAAACATACACAAAATAAATAAACTAGGGGAACAGTGATGAGGGTTTTGAGAGGATACCAAACTAACCTACAAGGTTAGTTAATATTCCTACCAAAATGAACACAATTTGAACAAAAACCTTATCACTATACACTAGGCCTAGTAATCAGGGGACCCTTGCGCAAATTGTGCATTTGGATAAGGTTCAATTCCGAGGCAAAACAAATAATACAATACTCTTTTACGAGGGGAGGGTGGTTTTTTTAAGGGCCAATTTCGTATAGCTCCGTAGTTTGCATCTGCCAGCGAGGCTCCTTGTCGCATATCATTTGTGAAACGAAGCTATGTAGCTGAAGTGTACAATTCGCTGTGTTTTTATTTTTTTGATTATTGAATCACTTGGTGTGTGTGACATAAGATCAGTGATACGTTTTTGACCACAAGAAACATATCCGATGCTGACATTTATTACCAGATGACTACAGTTTATGACCCTAATGCAATGATAGAGGGGAAAGTACAGACGCTATAAATATAAAATGGATGTACACTCAACTCCCGATTAACCAGGATAAAGTAGGGTTGAAACGTCATCGTCGTCGTCCGCGATTGTGGGAAAATCATGAACATCTTCCGTGGCATGTAGACATCATTGTCGTCTTCCCCGGTCACAGAAACGTCATCGTCGTCGCCTTGCTTGTTCACGGCAAAAGCGGTAATTTTCCTATCACATGGGTATGACAGGTATCGGTATAGAGAATTATCAAATCCCTAGTTATTGTTATTAGATTTGTGTCCAGACAGTTTAAAATACATATTTTGTCATTTAAGAATTAAAGGAGTTTTAAAACCGATTGTTATAAAAAGGGATTAGGATAAAAATATTGCCCTACTTGTACATAAACAATTTAAATACCAAACATACTTAAAACTTACTACAGTTGTAAAATCAATTTCAAATGAAAAAATTTTACCTCTCACCTTAAACAGTCCATTAAGGCAGTTCACTTGCATAAACACAAATAATTCAACAAAATACAATAAAATCTTTAAACAAAAAGATTTTAAAAAGACAAGTTATATTTGTGTAGGATTATGTGTGTCTACAAAATATTTATTTCATAACATTTTACATTTTCGAGTTCATAAGACAAGGAATTAGGCGTAACTATACCTCTGAAAAATCCCTCAAGCTAAGAATTGTTAACCTAATACAGTTGTAGTTTCTCAAAATGACTTGCATGATTTTATTTATTTTTCATGGCTAGGTATAGACATTTTTAGACTAAACAAAATTACAAACCCAAATCACAAAAACATTTCAGAAAAAAGTAATTTAATCTTTCAATAAGTAACACCAAATCCTAATATCTAAGTATAAATTATTTTATATATATAATAACTTGTTTTTTGAGGAAAGAATACTTGGATTAGGACTGTTAATGAAGAAGGAATGGATACAGAGCTGCTTGCAGAAGAAAAGTGTTCAAGGCAGGTAACATCACACAAAAACGTTTACAACATTATATTTAACAATCATAAGGTACATTTACGTCAAAAGTTCAACAAAGTAGTGGTTGGAAATGAACTGAGACCATTTTACTCCTATACAGGCATTGTCAAGTCCCTTTCCAATAATGTTTCATCTAATAATCGACTCGCCATTTACATTCAAAGAATACACATGGAACATAACCCTCAGGAAAACCATTTAAAGTAAGCCTAATATTTACCGGCTGCGACGTGGCACGGATGGAGACAGACCAAAACATTTAATATTCTGTCCCGACAAGGGGGCTTCTTTAGAAGGAAGTAAACTAATAGATTGTAGTTATAAACTGGCACTGTATATGAACTTTCTATATCAGTCTTGCCAACGCATCAGAGTACTTTCTAGTTTCTAATCGCTAAATATTAAAAAGCGTCTACATACGTTAGTTCTGAGATTCAGGAGTAGAAAATGGTTTGTATAATATTTAAGTTAGGTGGTGATTTTGAATTTGTAACAAACTGGCCAGGCTAGTTCCCATCACCTGAGCATAGATAAGTTGCATTGACTCTTTACTTTTTGTGTTATTAACCGTCTGGAACTCTTTTCTTAGTAAGTTAGTAGTGTACCGTCCCTTCTTCCTTATGTTTTTGATACAATTGTGTCTTATTTATCAACTGGTTAATATTTCCATTAGTATATTTGCAGAAGTATTGAGAAAATATTGCTGCAAGATCACATAAAATATTACTGTGAAGAAAACAGGTTTCGGCTTAAGGTTGAAAGTCTATGTCGGTTTTGTTCTGTAACAGAAAGGAACCATGTAACACTTACTTGAGAAGCTGGGAGGGAGTCCGTTGCGCATGGATGAGTGCCTTGCAGGTGGTGGAGGGGGGGCCGGACTCTGAAATGTCAGATCACAATAAATATTTGATGCAAAACACAACACAGAGGAGTAATCTTGCATCCATGTCTGCAAACAAACAATACACCAATACAAACTGCAACAAGTTTGGATGACAAAAACGCATTGTAAAGATGAAAAAATCATTAAATGATCATTAGTTTCTTCGTTAGAAAACCTACACAAGACTTAACATTTGTCCTTGGTTGAAACCACTTAAATTTCTTCGTTCTGACTTGTCATCAATGTATAAAATAAAGCGATAACCATCACTAATTATCAACAAAAATTATCACTTATTATTTCTCGAAAGCCGCCGATGTGTGAGCTGTGAAGAGCAGACAAGAGACACACGTTACTACCACAAAAACTCATCTTGAAATGTAGATTGTGTTGTACAATATCATCTGCTTTGCAGAGAGAACAGCTGAAGCTAAACAAAGGCACCGTAGCGGTTTTGAACTAAATAGTTCTAAGTTGGCTACTAAAGTTGTTAGCCATCATTATAAAAGTAATATAAAATAAGTAAATGTTAAAATAAAATATCCATCCCGGGTGTCGGTATCGGAATAGACTTTTGGCAATCGATTCTTGATACCAATACCAATGTCCAAGTATCGGTGGTATCGATAATCATCAAATCCCTATCTAAAACTCGTTTTAGAGGCCTAAATTAGTTTTATATATTCATCAGGACGTAACCGATACATCGAGATTTCGATGCATGATGAATCGAATCGAACCGAAATTTCGATGCATTGCACACCACTAATCCTAACTGATATCACCACAATTCTTATGTGGAAAAGTTCTTTTGAATAAGGTAGGCCAAGTTAATATTAGTTTTTTTTATACTGATGTTTATTTTTAAATAAAAGATTTTAAATATTCTTGTCTATAATTATTGAGCGGAGCGAGCGAAGCTCTTATACGTCGACTCTTATGCATTTCGTAATACGCAAACTCCTCCTAGACGGCTGAATCAATCGTTTTCAAATTTTGCATGGTGATAAAGACCATATCGGTGAGTGCCAACATCTATATGGCGTTAAAAAAGTCTCTCAGGAATCCGCCCCACTGGGTCTCAAAGTTTCAATGTAATCCTTATGGAAGCAGTATTTGACACATAAACAAAGACATATGATCAGCTGTTTTGAATGCAGCAAATAAAGAAATAGCTGATAGCATTATTCCACAGATATTAGAACAGAAACGGTATGGATCATAAATATAATCAAATGACGACACTAGCTTCAGGTCCGTGACGTAGGAAGTGGTGAAGGAAGTAGTAAAGGCGAGCTGTCCGGAGTGTGGGAACTGTTTATGACGATTAGATTAAGGTATCTACAATCCTAAAATGCTATGGGAAGGGACGAAAACAGGTCCACGTCGTAGGAAGTGGTGAAGAAAGTAGTCAAGGCGAGCTGTCCGGAGTGTGGAAACTGTTTTTGACGATTAGATTAAGGTATCTACAATCCTATAATGCTTTGGGAATGGAGGGAAACAGGTCCACGACGTAGGAAGTGGTGAAGGAAGTAGTAAAGGCGATCTGTCCGGAGTGTGGAAACTGTTTATGACGATTAGATTAAGGTATTTGCAATCCTAAAATTCTTTGGGAAGGGAGGGAAACATGTCCGTGACGTAGGAAGTGGTGAAGGAAGTAGTAAAGGCGAGCTGTCCGGAGTGTGGAAACTGTTTATGACGATTAGATTAAGGTATTTGCAATCCTATGATGCTTTGGGAAGGGAGGGAAACAGGCCCACGACGTAGGAAGTGGCGAAGAAAGAAGTCGAGGCGAGCTGTCCGGAGTGTGGAAACTGTTTATGACGATTAGATTAAGGTATTTGCAATCCTATGATGCTTTGTGAAGGGAGAGAAACAGGTCCGTGACGTAGGAAGTGGTGAAGGAAGTAGTAAAGGTGAGCTGTCCGGAGTGTGGAAACTGTTTATGACGAATAGATTAAGGTATCTACAATCCTAAAATGCTATGGGAAGGGAGGAAAACAGGTCCACGACGTGGGAAGTGGTGAAGGAAGTAGTAAACGCGAGCTGTTCGGGGCGTGGGATCTGTTTATTACCATTTTAGATTAAGGTATTTGCAATCATATGATGCTATGGGAAGGGAGGGAAACAGGTCCGTGACGTAGGAAGTGGTGAAGGAAGTAGTAAAGGCAAGCATCTCGGACCGTGGGAACTGTTTATGACAATTAGATTAAGGTATCTGCAATCCTAAAATGCTATGGGAAGGGACGAAGACAGGTCCACGTCGTAGGAAGTGGTGAAGAAAGTAGTCAAGGCGAGCTGTCCGGAGTGTGGAAACTGTTTATGACGATTAGATTAAGGTATCTACAATCCTATGATGCTTTGGGAATGGAGGGAAACAGGTACACGACGTAGGAAGTGGCGAAGGAAGTAGTAAAGGCGAGCTGTCCAGAGTGTGGAAACTGTTTATGACGATTACATTAAGGTATCTACAATCCTAAAATGCTATGGGAAGGGAGGAAAACAGGTCCACGTCGTAGGAAGTGGTGAAGAAAGTAGTCAAGGCGAGCTGTCCGGAGTGTGGAAACTGTTTATGACGATTAGATTGAGGCATCTGCAATCCTAAAATGCTATGGGAAGGGATGAGAACAGGTCCACGTCGTAGGAAGTGGTGAAGGAAGTAGTCAAGGCGAGGTGTCCGTAGTGTGGAAACTGTTTATGACGATTAGATTAAGGTATTTGCAATCCTAAAATTCTTTGGGAAGGGAGGGAAACATGTCCGTGACGTAGGAAGGGGTGAAGGAAGTAGTAAAGGCGAGCTGTCCGGAGTGTGGAAACTGCTTATGACGATTAGATTAAGGTATTTGCAATCCTATGATGCTTTGGGAAGGGAGGGAAACAGGCCCACGACGTAGGAAGTGGCGAAGGAAGTATTAAAGAAGAGCTGTCCGGAGTGTGGAAACTGTTTATGACGATTAGATTAAGGTATTTGCAATCCTATGATGCTTTGTGAAGGGTGAGAAACAGGTCCGTGACGTAGGAAGTGGTGAAGGAAGTAGTAAAGGTGAGCTGTCCGGAGTGTGGAAACTGTTTATGACGAATAGATTAAGGTATCTACAATCCTAAAATGCTATGGGAAGGGAGGAAAACAGGTCCACGACGTGGGAAGTGGTGAAGGAAGTAGTAAACGCGAGCTGTTCGGGGCGTGGGATCTGTTTATTACCATTAGATTAAGGTATTTGCAATCATATGATGCTATGGGAAGGGAGGGAAACAGGTCCGTGACGTAGGAAGTGGTGAAGGAAGTAGTAAAGGCAAGCATCTCGGACCGTGGGAACTGTTTATGACGATTAGATTAAGGTATCTGCAATCCTAAAATGCTATGGGAAGGGAGGGAAACAAGTCCGTGACGTAGGAAGTGGTGAACGAAGTAGTTAGGTGAGCAGTGTGGAGTGTGGGAACTAGAAACCGTTTGTAGCAGTTATATTAATGTATCTGCAAAGCTGAAATGCCATGAGAAGGGATGGAATCATCCCAACGACATAGAAAATGGTGAAAGAAGTAGTAAAGGCTAGCAGTGCAGAGTGTGGGGAATGTTTGTGGCAATTAGATTAACTATCTAAAATACTAAAACGATATGGAAAGTGATGAAAACAGGTCCACGACGTAGGAAGTGGCTTAGGAAAACGTAAAGTATGAGCATAGTGTGAGAATCGTCTTTGACAGTTAGATTAAGGTATCTTCAATCCTAAAATGCTATGAGAAGGCAAGGAAATAAGCCCCACGACGGAGGACGTGGTGAAGGAAGTATTAAAGGCTGGCAGTGCAGAGTGGGGGAACCGTGTGGGCAGTTAGATAAATGAATCTGTAATCTTAAATGTTATGAGAAGGGAAGGATACAGGTCTATGACGTAGGAAATCGTGAAGCAATTAGTAAGGCTAGCTGTGCAGAGTGTGGGAACTGTCTTTGGCAATTACATTAATGTATCTGCAATCCTAAAATGCAATGAGAAGAGAGGGAAACAGGTCCATGACGTAGGGGGTCGTGAAGGAAGTAGTAAAGGTGAGCAATGTTGAGTGTGGGAATTTATTAATCTATCTGCAATACTAAAATTCTATGGGAAGATACTGTAGACTGTGTAGGTTAAAATGATTACGAAGCACGAATCGATACATATTTTCGATACATGCAATCGTTTACAAATCGAAATTTACAACTGAGTTGGCAACAACTGATTTTTACTCCATAGAGGCTAAAAACGATTTTTACTCCCTAGAGAATAAAAATGCTACTTTAGACCCGCAACGCATGCATTAAAAACTACTGTTTTTACTGCAGTATGACAAAAACAATATAATATGAACCCTTATGATGACTCCGCTCAATTTTGTGGATGCCTCTGCGAACGCCACCTAGTTATTTTCTTATCCAAACCAGTCATCTGTCATAAATCAGTAGGTATTTCAAAATGTTACAAAATCAGGTTAAAATGTCGAACGTGCATATACTGTTATGACCGAGAAGGGAAATCCCATCTCAAAATTTTTTGAGAAATAAAAAATTCTGTCTCGTTTTGTCTCAAACTAAACATCCAATATCGTCCATCCCTACAATAAATATTAAACAGGCACATTACACTGTTACAATACACGTTGTAAAGGTTAAACAATTTTATCTTTTAAAAATAGTACTAAAATTCTTTTAAAATGTTGACTTATACTAATGTGTGTTGTGTTTTTCTTACTCTGTACTGTATACTTGTTGCTGATAGTATGCTCAAAAGTATCATACTCGCCCGGGAAGGTTTCAACGGTGCTTTAATGAAATCTATTCTATCTTTACTATCACCTTGGCATGACATACTGTATTCACTCACCGCAGCCTGTGGCGGGGCAGGTATCCTATGCATCAGTGGAGGCACTCTGTGAGGTGGTGGGGGAGGTGCCTGTGTAGGCGGAGGTGGTGGAGGGCTGCTCATCACCACCTTGTTGGGAGGGGGAGGAGGCGGGCGGGTCTGCGGGGGCCTCAGTGGTCTGTGTGGCGGGGCCCCCCGAGGTGACGGCAGCGTGTGGTGCTTGGGCGGAGGAGGAGTGGCTAGCAACGAGTCCTGTGACTGATGGAACATCGGCGCCCCTCTGTACAGCTCACTTTGGTTTGGTAACAAGGGCATTTGTCCTGCGACAAATATGACTGTAAGCATTGATGATTGTACTAAATTATACAAAAAGCCTAATATGACAGTGAATGAGAAGCAAAAGTGGGAAGAGGCGAGTATTAGGCCCAGCGCACACGGTGTGACTGTTTTACAACAACTGTTGCAAACCAGTTGCGTCTGGAACCATTTTGCAACTGAAACAAAACTTCTGTCCGCACACGGTGTGACTGTTTTACAACTACAGTTGCGTCTATTGTGCAATCAGTGGAGTGCAATTTTAGTGCAGTTACGTTGTTTTAAGGCCCTGAGTGCGCTTACTACGTCGGACTCAGACGAAGACGACATTATTAGCTATTATCAATAACGAAAACAGCGAAGGGTACTGAGAGAACATTGGGTTCACCCTTATTTGAGCAAGAATGTTAGTACTAGGCTGTGTGTAGCAGCTAGAGCTAGTTGGATAGGAAATTATAAACACTAAAAACACTATACGGCCGTCAAAATTCCACCAAAATACCACCAAACACCACAAAAACACCCGTGGTCTTGTACAACTGAAGTCTGCAACGCAACTGCAACGTCGGGCTCACGGTTGTATGTGACTGGTTTCAAACTTTTTTTGAAATCGCATACAACCAGTTGCGTTGTGTGCGCCTCCCCACTGCAATACATTGCCGAGGTTTGCAACGAAAGTTGTAAAACAGTCACACCGTGTGCGCTGGGCCTTAGTAGTGGCATTGTTTAAAACACCAGAGTAGACTTCCCATCTATGAGCAGCCAATTTTTCATTAAAAAAGAACCTGAAACAGTTCTTCTGTGGTGTAATGAGCTACACACAGAATTTGTAAATGTCAAAATTCTATTCATCCTCTTAGGTGAGATTCTTTAATAATGTAACACCAACACAGTTACATCAATACAGTTTAAAGTATGTCATTCTTTCAGTTTGTTTAGTATTTATTTAGTATTTGACAGCAGCACAATCGGTCAGTGGCACAATTCAATCTATGTTTATTTTAAGTCAAAAACTGGCTAAAACTTACTGAATGTTTGTTTACTTTGACTTTTGATAGAACCAGGGTGTCTAGTTTATTTCCATTATAAAATTCAAGACTAATTCCAGACTTTTCAAGACTAATTCTAGATTTCTCAAGACTAGTTTTTTCAACAATTAGTGGGTGTTGATACCAAAATGTATCGATTCGCGATTCTTGATACCGACACTAATACTACACCAACCCCTGTCTATATCATAAAGTAGTATTATGATAATGTGGTGTTTTCAAGTAAAGAATAATGCAGCAATAACAAATTCTAACTATAAAATTTGGTTTTTTCTATCATGAAATCTTCCGCGTACCGTACGTTTAGACATCATCATTGACTGCAGCGGTTACAGAAACGTGATCGTCGTCGTCCGCGATCACGGTAAAATCATGAACATTTCCTGCGGCCGTGTAGACATCATCGTCGTCTCCCGCGGTCACGGAAACGTCATCGTCATCTCCCGCGGTCACGGAAACGACATCGTCGTCGTCCGCGATCGCGACAAAATCATGAACATTTCCCCCGGCCGAGCAGATATAATCGTCGTCTCACGCGGTCACGGAAACGTCATCGTCATCTCCCGCGGTCACGGAAACGTCATCGTCATCTCTCGCAGTCACGGAAACGTCATCGTCATCTCTCGCAGTCACGGAAACGTCATCGTCATCTCTCGCAGTCATGGAAACGTCATCGTCGTCTCCCGCGGTCATGGAAACGTCATCGTCATCTCCCGCGGTCACGGAAACGTCATCGTCATCTCTCGCAGTCACGGAAACGTCGTCGTCGTTGTCCGCGATCGCGGCAAAATCATGAAAATTTCCCGCAGCTGTTTAGACATCACCGTCATCTCCCGCGGTCACGGAAACGTTATCGTCGTCGTCTGCGATCACGGCAAAATCATGAACATTTCCCGCGGCCGTGTAGACATCATCGTCGTCTCCCACGGTCACGGAAACGTCATCGTCATCTCCCGCGGTCACGGAAACGTCATCGTCGTCTCCCGCTGTCAAAGAAACGTCATCGTCGTCTCTCGTGGTTTCGGAAACGTTATCGTCGTCGTCCGCGATCACGGCAAAATCATGAACATTTCCCGCGGCCGTGTAAACATCATCGTCGTCTCCCGCGGTCACGGAAACGTCATCGTCATCTCCCGCGGTCACGGAAACGTCATCGTCGTCTCCCGCGGTCACAGTAACGTCATCGTCGTCTCCCGCTGTCACAGAAACGTCTTCTTCGTCGTCTCCCGTGGTTTCGGAAACGTCATCGTTTCCCGACTACTAGACACCCTGTAGAACAAAACAATCCATTACCGAGTGTGTAGATTGATTATTAATTTCTGTAAAAAACAGCCAGCAAAAAAAGCCAAACTCAGAGCAACACTTTGTATAAATTATAGCACCACTTTCAAGTAACATAAAAACATATTTTTGTCAGTACCTGTGTCCTCTGTCAATGGCTCAGTTACGTTTGTTCATTTTTAATTCAAACTAGCAACAACTAAAACTTGAGAATTGGATGTTTACGGTCCCTCACCTGGAGGGGCGACGGGTGGAGAGCGAGGTGCCCTCATACTCTGAGCTCTAGTCACACTAGGCCGTCCATTGGTTAACTTGCCAGGACTCTTGGCGACATAGCCTGGTGGCTTGGGTGCCACGTTGGGCTTCCCGTGGCCACCTGGAGGTGCTTTCATTGCTCGCGGAGCCGCCTGCCACGAGCCATTGTTGCTATTAAGACTGGTCGTGCTATTGGACCGGTTGTGTATCGGTCCTGTCAGAACCGAGTCTGACGTACTCTGTAAACACCTAACATGTTACTGATAGACAGAGTTATAGTATGAGTATAGTAGTAGTAGAGTTATGAGTAGTGTTATAGACAGAGTTTATGATTTAAAACTATGACTATATACACCAAAAATATACACTGTACAGTGTTATCATAAAATAATGGTGGACTTTTTTAAGTATGAAAAAAGATGTTTTACTAAACTAACCAGGAGACAAGCATGATTGATTTTCACACCTTTTTGACACATCATTAAAACTCTACTATTTTCTCTTTGTGAAAGTACAAAAGGTAACCGGATTTAAAATACCTGTATTTGATTGTAGAAGAAAATTCTTATTGTAGAGGTCCTAAAAACAATAATTGAACAGATGCAAACATATTTTTAAATTTTGTCTACAATAAATATTATGTGACCTATGTTGAATACACCCAACAATTGTACTAGCTGGTTAGATAGTGGACAACTAATCACCCAAGAGTAACATTGGGTTACTTTTAGATCCTCTGGATACTAAATAAAAATTCCTTTGATTTTGGCATGAATTAAAGATATTTATCATATTGTTACAAATAAAACCATACTGGAAATTAAGACCTCCATAATTTTGAAAGACAAAATGAAAATATCAAAGCAACACTTAGTAACATGAACATCAATAATGAACATCATTAATAAAAATAAAAAAAATAAACAACTAGTAAGGAATAAATACATAAATACAATGAAGAACATTACATCAGTTAAGGATAAAGCATCAAATTAAAAATATTAACAATGAAGCCCAGACATATTTACAACATGAGTAAGTAAATAAAAATACTTCTAATAATATTTTTAAAAGTTTTAAGTGTTATTAGACATATTTTTATTTACTTCCCGTAAGTTTAATAACACGTACAATGCTGATAAAGAAATGATTTAACATGAGCAACACAATACAGTCATATTAAAAATATGTGACAACAAGACATCTGTGGTTGGTGAAAGAGTATAAGTCAATCTGACTTTTAAGAATTTATCCTTTCCATTGGAGATGGATTAAAGACACTGAGAAGAGAAGACAGGATAAATAGTTGCGAAGCAGCTCTGCTGTAAAAAAGTATAAACTTGCCCAGGGAGACAGTACATAACTTACAAAAGAACTACAAAAAACAGCCACTTCACATTTCGACAATTAACTTACACAGGAAAGTGCACAAACATACCAATCTTGAAGCAAACAGCCAATTGAAAGAGTTACCATTGAAGACTCTGCCTCCTCAGGTACAAAAAATAGCCACTTTACATTTTGACGATAAACTTGCACAGGAAAGCACACGGACACACCAATGTTGAAGCATATAGCCAATAGAAAGTTTTACCATTGAAGACTCTGCCTCCTCAGGTACCAAAAATAGCCACTTTACATTTTGACGACCAACTTGCACAGGAAAGCACACGGACACACCAATGTTGAAGCATATAGCCAATAGAAAGTTTTACCATTGAAGACTCTGCCTCCTCAGGTACCAAAAAATAGCCACTTTACATTTTGACGATCAACTTGCATTGGAAAGCACACGGACACACCAACGTTGAAGCAAAGAGCCAATTGAAAGAATTTGTTACCGTTGAAGATTCTGCCTTCTCAAAAGTTGAAGATAGACGAGGTCTCTGGATCTTAAACTCAACAGGAGTAGGGGGTGCTAAAGTGGATGGTTTGGGTCTCGGAGAGGTGGGTAATGGGGGTAGATACTGGTTCTGAGGAAGATTAGATTTTGTCATAGATGAGTCTCTGTAACGATTGTACTCATTACGGTTTGGCGAGGGGGAAGGAGACTGGTAGTTGTTCACATTAGGTGACTGAATCGGAGCGATAGTGAACAATGGGCGTTTTGAAAGCGGCTTCTCCGAGCGTACAGTGTCTGTAGGTCTTAGAGAGACACGAGACGGGAAAGTGCCAAAGGAGTTGAGACCTAGCTCTTTTGATGTTGGAGGAGGGGGAAACTTGAAAACAGGTGACTGAGGTGCAGGAGCAAACCGTGGGGGAGTTTTAGCATTTGGAAAATTTATTGGTGTCAAAGTAAATTTGATATCAGATGACTTGATGTCTGTAGTATCTGTGGTGTAGGCATTTTGAGGTTCAATGTTTGCCAGGGAATACATAGATTTTGAAAGAGATGTTTTCACCAATACCCCATGCTCAGTAGAGGGGTTTTCAGAACTGACATGTGACAACACTCTAGGTCTAGGGATGATCTGTGGCTTGTAAATCTGAGGAGAAACTAATTTGTTGTAGGAAATAGACTTCTTGCGATCCTCTTGATTCAATTTTGACTTCGATCCTAAAAAAGAGATATCCTACAAAAGAAAACAAGTGATGTTGTATAGTAATAAATAATAGAATTATTTTACAAAACTGTATTAAAATGGAGTGTTTTTTTTTTAATAAGGGCCGATTTTGCGTATAAATCCGTATTTTGCTTGTTTGTAAGCAGCAACGAGGCTCCTCACCACTTACTAGCATCATTTGTGAACAGGATGACACAAATTACAGCTCTGTAGCTGTCACAATTTGTGTCATTCTGTTCACAAACGATACCAGTAAGTGGCAAGGAGCCTCGTTGTGGTTTACAAGGGAATTACGGATTCTTATGCAAACCAAACTGCCCTCGTAATAATGATCAGTAGAAACATAACATACTCTCATTCTCCCCAGCACAGAGAATTAGGATAGACCCTAGACTGGCTGTATTTTTGCTTCGTTAGTCCTAGTTATTTTATATACCACTTCTAAACAAACTGTAGTTTTTTAAGTTTTAACTATAAAAGTTTGTACTAAACAACCCAAGTTTTACTTAACCCTTAATGGACGGCCTACAATAATATGTAGACATGAAATGAAAAAAAGAAAAAATACCCCCGCCGCAGCAAACCTGCCGACTAAGCGAATTTCCATTTGTCTGAATTGATTTTCAGTTAAATATATTTTAATAACATTAGGTTTAACGAGTACCTAGGTTTGCTGCTACAAGGAAACTAATAAAGTGTGTTTTTGAGTAAAATATTGATAGCTTAGTACAAAATAAATAAATTTGCCAAGTTTGATCAAAATATATCCATAAACAAGCAAACTACAACATTTGACAATATTCTCCATAAGAATAACATGGGAATTTTAAATTTACAATTTTTTTAATTTTCTCTGTTAGTAATAATCGAACAAAAATACTTTTATATACTAAATTATTTGTTTTTTTAAGCTCTTTAAAAAGGTCTAAAGAGAAATCGGGAAATTTTGTGTTTTAAGGGTCAAAAGTGAGAAAAACCAATTTTTACCCCATAAAACCCCCCGTAAAGCCCCGTTCCCATGGTCCGATCGTGCTGGTTCGCGAACTCATTCAAGTTTATCCCGCTTTACACCTTTAAACCAAATTTCATCAAAATCGGACAAAAATTACTCAAGTTATCGCGTTCACGGACGTATATATATATATATATATATTATTTTCTTGCATTTTTAGGGCTACTAATATATATATATATAAGTCTATATATATATAAAAATTTGAACGAATGGTGTTTTTGGCCTCTGGGGACATCAAAATGAAAAAGTAAATCGGTCCCGGGTCTAGGTCTTACCGTGCCACCTACGGTAATAGCTACTTCCCTATAGGGAAATTCGCTAAAAACTAGTCGTAATAATCAGCGGATATTGCACAGTATCAATTTTTTCGTGTTGATGAGCAGAATCAATTTCTGCTCACAATTTTGAGGTTTAAAGTTACAACATTTACATTAAATAAAGAAAATTATGATAATTGTGGGTAATTAACAGATCAGGGAAAGGAATAACATCCTTCCTAATCTCCTGCCTTTGTGTCTGTGAGGACTGAGTATGTGTGCGTGAGCCTTCCTGGTGTTGAGGAGCACTTCCCTATTGCTAAAGGTATAGAACATAATTCATACAGTTTTTCACAAATGCAATTACTATTTGACAGGCAGGTTTGTGGCTATAAACTACTATAAACTAGTAAAACAGGTCAAAAAAGTAATCTTAGAAAAATAAGATGTTGAAAATGACTTAGATATATCATCTTTCAGTCATGCCATAAATGTGAAATTGTAATCAATATTTTGGTATTTTACAGATACCTCTGTAAACAGAAACATTGTTATAATGCTAGTGTTAACTATGGTAAATTTTTCACAAACACTATTGATGGAGAGTTAGGTTAGGTGCTGAATAAGATGTGTATCTCACTCCAAAACTTTTCCTGAATAAACTAATAACCATATGAAAATATAATATAAAAACCGGTCATCATCTGTCAATATACTCAAAGTATTCGCAACACAAACATGTTTAGTTAAAACGTAGCATACACATCAAACCGGTATGAGGGCCAAAGTATATTTTGCTAAGATAAACTCAGGTTTTATTCACATCGAAACTTTATCTCTACTTTTAGACAATAGTCATTCAAGCATCCAAACATTGTTTCCAGCTATAAAATTAAGTGTGAACAACTCAGTTTGAAATTGTATTATTAAACGTGTAAAAACCTGAATATTTTAAGCTATAATTTTAGTTGGTATAAAACTAAGTCTGGCCTCACGCTGGTTACAGACCTGAGGCATGGTAGGCTTCTGATTAGCAGGTGGTGGCTTGGGAGGAGGACCTCGATTTTTTATGTCTACGTTGAACTGCTTCCTTGGTTGGTCTGTTTTCTGAAACAACATTTAGGTGTAATAACCCCAAGTCTAATGATTTTTATTCCCATTACTATATGGACACAAGTTACAACGTCTTTCTGATCCGTAATTTGTTTCAATCCTCAAATGTTTAGTGTTTTACACTAAACACTCGATTAATAAACAATACCCACCAAAGTGGAAAACCCATATGAGCAAACAAAAAATGAGCTTCACTCTATACATTTTAACACAAATACTATAAAGATAGGTCTTTTCTTTTTTAAGAGCTTGGCGACATATATTAGGCCTACCTTACATTTGCATGTCCACCCGGGCTCCAGAGACCTGTGTGTTTTTAAAGTCTTAGGTCTGCAACACACTTAATTGAACATGACATGACAACATTTCTCTTTCAGATGATCTCTTTATGGAGGGTAGAACTCATGTGTTTAGAAGCACATGATCAGGGAGGGGTCTTGGGTTTCATTCTATGGTGTTTTATCACAAGATGATATTCACCAGACCATTGGAAGACAGTGAAGAAATGCTTGTAGAAATGTGACTGTTGCAAATGTTGAGTGCACCAGTTGAATTTAACCTCACAATTACTGTGGTAGTGGTGGACAGTTAATTTTGCTGTTGGGTTGATTTATTACCACTAGTGTTTAGTGGTGTGACTCTGTGTGTTGTTAAAGCTGTGTGTCATCAAATAGCAAGTGCACAGCAGACAGATGTACAGTATAAGGAGCAGATGATTGTCAGTACAAGCAGATAGCTTGACCTTGGAGCTCTCGATGGCCATTTCTATGTTTTGTTTCCATTTAGTTTTGTCAAATAAGCTGTGGTGTACGAGGGTCGTCTCAAAAGTAAGTTACACATTTGTTTTAAATCACAGCGTCGAGCGCTAGAAAGCTGGGAGTCGCGGGGAATTTTCGTCTGGATGTAGTGGCAACACTGTAAACGTCGCGGCCGCCTACGGCACTCGCCCCTCCAGTATCGCTCCGGCCATCATGGAGACACCACTTGTTCCCACCGCCGATTGTGAAATCCGTGCAGTAATTAGATTTTTGACTGCCAAGAATAAAAATGCGATCGAAATTCATCGAGAATTGTGCAGTGTTTATGGTGAAAATGTGATGTCTAGGCCAATGGTTTCCCGCTGGCGTCAATCGTTTATTGATGGACGAAAATCGTTACACGATGAACGACGAAGTGGCCGCCCGTCCACTTCCCGCGCTTTGACGGTTGTTGAAGATGTCCGCAAGGTCATTGACACCGATGGGATGTTTTTGGCCATCCACCTTACTCTCCTGACTTGGCTCCAAGTGATTTTCATCTCTTCCCGGAGTTGAAGCGGCATTTAGGCGGGGAGCGCTTCGAAAACGAAGACAAACTGAAACGGGAGGTGGAACAATGGCTAACCAAAATGGCGGCAGAGTGGTATGATGCTGGACTAAAAAAACTGTTGCCACGTTATAAAAAATACCTTGAAAAAGATGGCGACTACGTAGAAAAATAGTCTATGTATGTATCTTTTAAAATATACCCTTTTCAAACCAAATTTGGCTTTTTTATTTATTTTGGGAATAGGTGTAACTTACTTTTGAGACGACCCTCGTATCAAAAACAATAATAGGGAACCTACTGCAGAGAAAAATCGTCAGAAATAGTAATAAACAGTGCATTTCAACGTATTAGACTGAAGAAATATAATTTAAAAAATTTTCTTGGGATTATTTGAGGTTAAATGTAACATAAATTAAGAGGCATCTATTGACTACGGATGATCCGCCGCCCAGTTGATCCGCCCCCGGTTAATCGAGGTTCTACTGTGCTAATAAAATATTTAAAAATGAACTTACTCCTGAAGTGCTAGTTGCAGAGGGCAGAGACGTAAGAGACTGAGAGTTGTTTTGACCTGTTGACAAAATATTTCAACTTACTTACTGGTACGATTTACAATGATTTTATTACAATGATTGTAGGATGAATTAGACTTTGTTAATAAATAACCATAGGCCTAGACAAAAAAATCTGAGAATTTTATCTAAGGCTGACAAATGTCTGTTAAAATTTGAAACTGTTGAACTGAAACTCTTAACCCATTGGCGCCGACTTATGAGTGCCGCTCATGTCACCGCTACGCAGCGCCATTAGTTATTTTATTATTATAATTTCCCCCTTATTGTGTCTTCTTACTTTTATTATGTTTATAAATATCTTGCTTCTTGTTTTGCGTATTTACTCAATTATTTTTGCAAAAAAAAAAAAAACAAACAATGTTGTGTTGCCATGGAAACAAGATATCACAAAAAATCTGCTGCGATAAGGTAAACAAACAATTTTTTTCCCATGTAACTACTTATAAAAGTACACAACTTGTGATTTTTCTACGTAGGGAATCAATTGAACTTTATCTTGGAATTTGTAAATCAAGTTTACTTTGAAAAATCTGTTTTAAAATTTGTATTTTTATAATCTTTATAATTTTTTTTTTGTTTGTTTTACACTTTGACTATTCAACTACCACTTTTTTTGAAGACAATTTCACTGTGAACAGAAGGTGAAAGAATTATTAATTTATTACCTAAGGTTTTCTTTCTATAACAATTAGAGTAAAAGTCTACATATAAGGGAAAGTTAATTTGCAACAGAGGGGGCTGCAGGCAGTGCATTAATTCCTTCCCCAATGGGTTAAGTGATACGACTGTGTTTTCCAAGCAAAATGTCTAGTCACTGATACAAGTGCAAGTATATATCATTATTATACTTTCTGAAATGTAAAACATATCTAGGACAAGTCCTAGGGTGAAATATCAGTGTTATGTTGGAGAACTATTTCTTTGTTTCTACAAGTCCCTAGAACATAATTTTCTCAAGTAGCCTAAGTTAACTGAGCTTAATCCTTTGAAAAATTATTAAAAGTCAAATATATAATATGTCAACATTCACATTTAAAATTTTCAATCTGACTAATAAAGATCCAACAATTGTTAGGAATTACAAATTGATGTAAATCTAATATATAAAATTCTCGTGTCACAGTGTTTGTCTGCAAACTCCTCCGGAACGACTTCACCGATCGTTGAATCGATGAAATTTGGTGTGTAAATTCTGTAGGTATGCGAATCGGACGTAAACTATTTCCCGTTTTGAAATTCTTAAAAGGGCTCCGCCCCAGTGGCTCTGGAGTTTCCCATGTTAACCTTATGAGAAATGGAATTAATGAATCTTAACAGCTGTTTCAATTAAACAAGTTGGTTCTGTTCTATGATGTTCAATAGCATTAAAGTTACAAGGATTACCAACAGGGTACAGCACTATTATTTCTTTTACATTTATGACAACAGCTAATTTGCAACCAAAAGGTGAGTGAGCGTAGCGAACGAACTTCAACCTGGAGGCGAGTGAGCGTAGCGAACGAGCTAACCTGAAGGCAAGTGAGCGCAGCGAACGAGCTCCAACCTAAAGGTGAGTGAGCGTAGCGAACGAGCTCCAACCCAAAGGTGAGTGAGCGTAGCGAACGAACTTCAACCAGGACGTGATTGAGCGATGCGAACAAGATCATCTTGAAAATTAAACGTAACGGTACTTTCTTTCCATCGGTCTGTCTTAGGGGAAACCTATAACTTAGGCGATACGAAGTTCGCCGGGTCGGCTAGTACCTCAATAAGTTTTGAATATTGATATTATGAGGTTTTACCTTAGCAATCCTAATGTTGTCTATCCAACAATATCGATTTCAAACCCAAAGGTTCATCATAAGTCGGGATCTAGGTTAAGACCTCATAGTATCAATTGTTTACGATATTTTAAACAATCCAGAGGTTATAATGATTGGTAGTTTTTCAATTGTTGTCCTGTTTACTATCTTAGTATAGCAATCTACGGATGATAGAAATTAAAAGGATTTTTTATCTGTAGGCCTATTTATATTTCAGATTGAAAACTCTTTATTAGCAACCAAACTTATCAGTTGACTTCGATCAGAATCAAATAACCAATATAAATCAAACTTGTCAATGTAAAGTGACAAAAATTATACTTGGTTACATAATTAAAAGATTATATCAGTGGAGCTCATGCTTTAATGGATCATATTATTGCGTTTAACAGACTACAGTATACCATCTCTTAAACAACCCTGGATCAACCATAATAGGCCTAGTCCAGACAAAAAATAGAGGTTGGTTTATCCGTTTGATAATAAGACTGGTTAAGTTAGCTTAACAAACCTTTTTAGTCATTCTAGAGACTATTGTTCCAATTATTATTAAAGTAATAGATAAAACAAGTGTGCTGGTTTGGTTTTGTTTTGAACCACACAGGGAAAATAAATATGAAAAAGGATTGACTAATTTGTATATAACTTAAACTTTTAGAGTATGTTATGATTAAACTAAGACCTAAAAGACATTACCGATGGCATGTGTGTATTTATAAAATGCAGTGATTTTAAGTCTGGAAAAAATTTTACTTTGTATGTCTTTGTTCAAGAAGAAATTCCTATTTTCAAGATTACAATGTGGAGTACAGTAGTATAAGAGATTGTTTTAATAAGGGACAGTTGGTTTGTTCAGGTAATACAAGTAGGTACCAGTACTTGATCACTTTCATTGTTAAGTTACTTGGGCTATGTTAGATACAAAACATGCTGAGTATTGGATAAAAATTATAACAATGACACATTTATTTCTAAAATAATTTAAATATTTAAATGCCCATTATAATTGACCTTTTATGTCATTTGACCAACGCTTGATCTCCCATGCGGGTTTTGTTAAGAGAGGATATACTGTATGTGTGTTCAGGGTAGGTGAATATGGTAAAATAACTCACCAATATCAACTCCTGTTGGCTTCAGTTTGGGCATTCCCTGGGCGAACAAGCCGGCCAGTCCGTTGTTACGTCCCAACGTGGCTGAGCCATTGACTATCCCATTACTGCGGGGACTGCTACCAACACCGCCACCTGAACTGCCTCCACTGCTGCCACTACTCCCACTCGACGGTCGTGTGGTCCCTGTAACAGTTGTATACTGTAGCAGTTAAATCTTACAGGTTGAAACATCAGGTTGTCAATGATGTCCATTCCAACTTTTTCAATCAGTCTCATTGTGTACACGTTATACAACTTTTACTAAATAAATATTTTTAATTTTTTTTAAATTTTGGGGTTATCATCACCATTGCATTTTTTTTATTTTAGGGAGGAAATGACCCAAACCCTGATATTTTCTATTTGACATTGATTTTTACTTTCTTCCCCTCTACTTATACATATATATAGAGAAAATATTGTTTTTGTCAAAACTTTTGAATTTGAGTTTGGAGTGGGTATGTCAATTTTGGGTCCCCCTGAACCCCAAAAAGTAGTTTTCAAAGTGATATGTGATATGTGAGTGAGTGGGGGTGTGTTTGTAGAGTGCTATGGTCAAATTTGAATGACGTTTAGTATGCGGACACTTATCCATGACTCTAGACGTTTTGTTTTTTTTTTTTAGATTTTTAATGGTTATTTTCCCATAAAATAACAGAAAAATCTAATTTTCACAAAAACTGATCAACTATTTTGATTAACATTTTGTATGTTATGGTCCTTTTAACCTAACAAAATAGTGCAATCCCCAATGAAGTAAAAATTACAGTTAAAAAGTTATTAAAATGTTTGTGGATTTCCCGGTAAAATATCATAGTTAGTCCCATCGCTTGCTCATAATAAGGGTTGTTGACAAGCTAATGGGAGAAAGTATATGTGTCAGTTAACACCGTCTTAAGAAAACGATAATTTAAAGCAGCACTAAGTAGGTAACTTGATTAAACTAGGTTATTTTTATTAAAAAACTGGACTTTACCATGGAATGGATGGTCAAATTTACTATATTGTACTCAGTGCTCGATTTGCGGGAAAACGCGGCACAACAGAGTTCCGATACCTCTCTTTCGGAAAGCCCTGAGGTTGACTAATACAGTATTAAATTTAGAGTCTGAGTAACTTTTCATCTATGGACTGGAGGGAAAGAGAAATAATTGATAGCATATCTGAGATGGAAACTGAGTGACGTTTGAAATAATGACAGACAAACAGAAATTTATCATCACATATACATTAAGGAAATTAAATAAGCCTACAATCACATATTCCCACATATTCTTAAACTTGCCAAAAATACATTTTTTTATTCTTTATGCTACACAATTTTTATGTTAGTTTTGAATGTTTGATATGCTCTTGCAACCAAGTGGCTTTAAATATTTAACTTGAAGAGGAAAACCTGAAAACAGGAAACCGTAACACAATGCTAAATCATACATTTCTGAATAAATTACATCACATGACCTTAATAAATATAAATCTTACTTGTTGAGAGAAAATAGGTAGGTTTCCTGATAAAGGCAAAGTAAACAATTGATAATCAATTATGAGGTGTTACTTGTTATCTTATTTCAGTCAATGTTTGTACAATGAAACTAAGCTAGAAACTGCTATCACCTCAATTTCAAACCAATCCTTTAAAACATTGAGTGGTAATCAGTTCCAAAATTTACTTAATAAAGTAAGCTAGGAATTAATAATTAAATGTTTATTCTGGATGATGATTGAAATAAATTAATTTATCCTGCTTTTGAATATTTTAACAAATATTTAGTCTGAATAGTATTAGTTAATATTTCATTAGTAGTTTTAAAAGTGAAATCTCTTTAACATGACGTGATGAAAAATTCTCATTTTAGCCTTATTTAAAATTTCATTTTTTCTTTGTAGTTTTTTTATTTTAAAATTAAATTCTATGGGCTATATAGAAATTAAAGCTTGTAGATTAGCTTCTTTGTATTATGTAATGATTAACAAGTTAAACGAAGCTTGCTTTTTAAATTGATTTAGCTTTAGCTGCAAATCTGTTATAATTTAGACTGTATTTAAAGACAAGTACATTTTCACATGGATTATTTTACAGCTTGAATTGTTTCAGAAGACACCATTAACAAATAAAAACAGATTGTAACAGCTCTAATTACGTAGAAATTATCTAAAATATTATCAATAAGCATTGTGAGTGATGATTCTTCTGTAAAACTAATAGACAGACTAATATTCGGAGTGTCCAGCAAGTCATGAAAATAAAATTCAAGGTTGATTCCAGACGGTTTTCATGGATCCAAGTACAAATGGATGTTCAAGTCAAACTTCCCTTTTAAATAGGAAAACTAACTTATCAGTACCCATTTCATGAAGGCGGTATGGCTAGAAAATAACGGGACTTGGTTTCTGTGAGAGAAACCGTGAGAGCCTCAAGGTTAAGCACCATATTGCTGAGTGGCCTGACATCCCCTCTCCACATTCCAGCTAGTTGGACAAGCTTAGCTTGCTCAGTCGGGCCTCAGCCTTCGTTCCTGTTGGACCTTGGATGTGCCACTCGTCGGAAAAATGGTAGGCGTCTTAATTGAGCAACGCGTTACATGAAATTTTTAGTGAAGATGGATAAATGCACAACAGAAACTTATTCTCTCTTACAACAAGTGTTTAGGGAAGAATATATGACACGTACTACAGTAGTTTTTGAATGATATAAGCATACATATAAGCAAATATAAGTACAATATAAGCAAAATTTGTTGGTTATAATATTTTTTTTATAGAATTTATAATTGGCTAATTCAAAATTCTTTTTACAGCCTAAGAGGCTTTATCAAGTGCAATTTTGATGTTAAATTTTAATTAAAATAAATTATTATGCCTAATTAATTTTATTTTATGTAATATTTTGATGTATCAGAAATTTGATTGTATTTAGATGATTATTTTGTAATGTACCTATATGACGTGTCCTATTTCTTTGCAAAAAAGATCAATGGAATAAATTATTCTTATTCTCATTTCAAAGAGGGGAGAGAAGATGATCCGCACCATGGACGTCCCTCAACCTTGAAGACGGATTAAAACATTGCGAAAATAGGCAAAGTAATCCGATAAGATCGACGATTGAGTATCCGTGTAGTTGCCGAGACTGTAGGAATTGACAAAGAATCAGTTCTGCAAACATTACATGAACATTTTAATATGAGAATAGTGTGTTCCAAAATGGTAACAAAAATCCTCATGCCGGTACAAAAGGAGTCAAGGATGGAAATCTGTTATGACATCTTAAAAAACATTAGGGAGATCCTGAACTATTGGAAAGACTACCGCCCAATATCTGTTTTAAGTAATTTTTCAAAGATATTTGAAAAAGTTATCAATTTACGGCTAGTAAACTATTTTAACAGCAATGATTTGTTTTATGAAAAACAGTTTGGGTTTAGAAAGACATTCAGCACCAACAGTGCACTGATTGAATTTATCAATGATGTTACAAAGGCTTTGGACAGGTCTGAAACTACTGCTGGTGTTTTCTGTGACCTGTCTAAAGCCTTTGATTGTGTGGATCATTCAATTTTGCTTTCTAAATTAAAAGACTATGGTATAAAGGGTAAAAGTTTTTCTTTATTAGACTCTTATTTACAGAACAGAAAGTATAGAACAATAGTGACCAAAAACGGTGTGAAACATATGTCAAACTGGAATTTATCTAATTATGGTGTACCTCAAGGGTCAATATTGGGCCCTCTGTTTTTCCTGATCTTTATTAATGACCTTCCAAAAGCTATTGGCAGAGATTTAATCTTATTTGCTGATGATACAACAGCAATCATAAGAGAGGATTCAGTAAATAACTTAATTGTATCAATAGTAAACACTTTGGGTTGTATGAAAAATTGGTTTACAGATAATGGTTTAAAGCTGAATATTGATAAAACTCATATAATTAAATTTTCTTTAAAAAACAATGTAATTCTTGATAAAATTCCAAATTTAGTAGAATCTCATAGATTTTTGGGTGTATTGCTTGATACTCATATTAATTGGAAGATTCACATAGATAAGATGAAAGGCAAACTAAGATCTATTTCTTTTGCTTTCTTTCACCTGATAAACTGTGTACCTCAGGATACATGTGATCACAGTTTACTATGGATACGTTGAATCCATCTTGAGGTATGGAATCATACTGTGGGGAGTGTCAACAGAAGTTAAATCCCTACTAATTTTACAGAAAAAAATTATTAGAATCTTAACCAAATCAAGAAGGAGAAAATCATGTAAAAACCTGTTTAAAAATCTTAGAATTCACACCATTTTTGGATTATACATAAATGAAATTCTAAATTGGATACATAACACTAAGGAAAATTTGTCAGATGTAGTCAAATTTACACATAATTATAATACAAGGAATAAATATAATTTCAGATTACCACATCACAAATTGACGACTTTTAGGAACAGCCCTCAATATATGGGACTTAGATTGTACAATGAATTACCCCTGTATCTTAAAACTTTAAATGCTACTCAATTCAAAGATAAAATAAAAGATAAAATAATTGAGAAAGCCTACTATTCACTTGACGAATTTTTGGAGAACCCTATAATGTAGATAAAAATTCTCTGATATCCTACATGAGTTTATTTTAATTATTTTAACTATTAATTTTACTATAAAATACATCACTATGACGAAACACCTGTTCTTATGTATGAAATGTACTTTATAAAGAACGTATTGTGTAAATAAAATATGTCTTATGTCTTATGTCTTAAAGAGTTATTCACAGGTGACAAATCATGGGTTTTTTCCTATGACCCAAAAACCAAGCGACCACCAAAGCTTGGCTCGGAAGAGTCCGAATTCACTGAAGAAAGCTTGAATGTCAAAATCAAAATTCAAGGCCATGATAAATTTTTTTTGACATCCATGGAATTCTGATGTAAATTGGGTTCCTGAAGGTCAAACAAAGAATAAAGAATACTATCTTGGGGTATTGGCCACCCTCCGTGAGCGAGTGTGAAGAAAGCGACCAGAGTTGTGGAAGAACACGTTGTGGATTCCGTCATCAGGACAACGCCCCAGCCCACACTGCACTGGTGATTAAGACATTTTTGGCCAAGCATGAGATCCCTGTGTTGGAACATCCACCGTACACACCAGACTTAGCAGTTAGCTCCGTGTGATTTTTTATGTTCCCAAAAGTGAAGGAAGCGTTGAAGGGGACCAGAAGCGATGGAGACTTTGAACATGCTATGACTTAAAACACTGTATATGTCGAAAATTTGAATGGAAAGGTGGAATCACTATCTGAAGGGAGAATCAATATCTTCCAATTGATATAATAGTTACCAGCAATAAACGGTCCACTCTTGTCGTTGGTGACAGTCTTGCGTAGAGTGGCCCCTTGTCGGATACTCTGCAGCAGAAGGCCCCGTCCATCAGAGGCTGCTGCAGGCGGAGGGGCAGGAGCAAACGATGGGGGTGGAGGCGGGCCCGGCGGTGGTGGTGGAGGGGGGAACGGCATCCTGCGACCTCCTCTGTAACATGCACAACAATATAATAACAGAGATAATTTCTTCACAAATGTCTTTTTTCCCAAAAACAAATATCAAATCGCAAAACTTTTGGGTTGCAGACTCGTTTTTAGGCCCGTGTTTTATTTTCCTTTTCATTTTGTTTATCATGGGGTAAATTATGGCAGGGTTGTATTGTTGAAGATTTTTTCATTCTTATATTTTAAGTCACACATTATAAATTATGCATATTTCAAAATGTAGGCTAATACGCTAATACTAAATCAATGTCCTGTAATATTTTGTTATCTATCTATATCTATAAAAGAGGAACTATGCATGCATGTATGTGTGTATATACGTTATGGACTCCGAAACCGCTCAGCAGATTGTAATGAAACTTTCAGGCATTATTAAGCATCTTTCAAGGATGGCTCGAGTGAAGTTTGGTGCAGATTCGTCAAAAGCGCTCTGCCCCAGAGGGTTTTAAGTGGGCCAATGTCAGACTTTTTGATCTACAATGTTTACAAATATTAACCGTAGAAGTGAGAGAGAGATGGTAAAGATGGTACTCAGAGGTATACCAGAAGGAAGGAGACCATTAGGTAGACCAAGAATGCGATGGGTTGATGAGGTGACGAAGGACTTGAGAGGAATGGGAGCAGACTTGGAGCTGGCAGAGGATAGAAGAGCTTGGAGGCACATGGTTGGCGAGGCCAAAAATCACCTAGGTTTCCAATGGCCACAGGAGTAAGTAAGTAATGTTTACAAATAAATATAATTTAAAAGCAGATGTTTACTTTCACCAACTGTTTTGTAGGTTTGAATAATCACAACATTCTGTGTTAGCATTAGTCATGATTTGAAATAGTACCACAGTGTTTCTACAGAGTGCAGCACAGAAAACTATTTTACTTTTGAATAAGTCCAAATGTATTACACCCCAATCGCAGCACACCTGTGCACTTAACAACGTTTAAATTCTCCAATGTTGAATATTAAAACATAAAAACCTTTATCAAAGTATTATAAACAATAAAAGGGATGACAAATGCTTTAATATTTTTATCTTTCTACACAATATAAAAGGCAAAGCCCTCACTGACTCACTCACTCACTCATCAGTAATTCTCACACTATCCATTTAGCTAGGAGGCAGGGACGGGGGGCGTCGTCCTGTAATCCAGCTACTTACTAGGAGGTCACGAATTGTGGATATTTATAGGGATGCACTGTGGATACGATGCTCCCTGGTGTGGATTAACGTCCGTACTAGTGAGTACTACGACTATCCGCAGTACTATCTTAATAATTAGACCAATTTGTTAATTACGAGGAAAAAATGTGGTTTGGATTCCACAATAAACTGTAGGTCCCTTAGTTGCCATTAGCTGTATGGGCTAATAATTAAATAAAAAGCTGTGTCTAAGCTGTATCTAACATGTCGGCCTTAGTCACAACAAGACTACAAGATCGCGCCACTCATCCTACACTCATCCTTCACTTATATGTGGGTTAAAATATGCACATAGAAGCGTCCCCATCTTAAATAATTGATAATTGATTGATTGATTGAGGCTGAAATTCGGTACACTGATTCTTTGGGCATTAAATAGGAAAACTAAGTAGTTTTTATTCTGATCGGCCTTTCGGGCTCCGCCCCAGTGGCTCTGGAGAGTTTCCCATGTTAACCTCATGATTTTCCATATTTAAAAGGAATTAATGAATCTTAACAGCTGTTTCAATTAAACAAGTTGGTTCTGTTCTATGATGTTCAAAAGCATTAAAGTTAAAAGGATTTAACAACAGGGTGCATCACTATTTTTTTTTTTAAATGTATGACAACAGCTAATTTGCAACCAAAAGGTGAGTGAGCGTAGCGAACGAACATCAACCTGGAGGCGAGTTAGCGTAGTGAACAAGCTCACCTAAAGGCAAGTTAGCGCAGCGAAAGAGCTCCAACCTAAAGGTGAGGGAGCGTAGCGAACGAACTTCAACCAGGACGTGATTGAGCCATGCTAATACTTATGAAGTTAGAAACTACTTAGAAAGTTACTTAACCAGAAAGAAGACATTGAATCAGTGTTGTATACGGCTGGGAAACTTAAATTTATTAATGATCGTCGCCAATAGCTTAGAAACAAGGTTCCACTCAGTGACAGCGCTTCAATGGCAGTTGTGTAAAGTGTAAAGTAAAAAATCACAACTGCAGTGGGTGATTGTAACAGAGGTTTACGGATGATGCTAAACTCGATTTTCCAATGTGTCACTTTCTGTTTCTACCATTGACTATATATAGTCAATAGTTCCTACTCACCGTGTGATGCAATCGCTGGACCATACAGCCAATAGGCCCATAGCTCATCTCTTGGATACGTACGCTTACCCAATTATTTATAACAACCTTTTCAACGACGATCCTTGATACCGGTACTTTTCCTTAGAATACACGGCATACCTAGGTACTTAAGAAATAAAATTACAAACGTCCAAAAACCCAACGTTGTGTGATTTTTGTCACATTTTCTTCTAATGTTATTAGATATACCAATCACTTTTTAGGAAATACGTAATCTATTAAATAACAGAAAGTTGTTGTATATGATTTTTTTTCAAACTGACGCCAATAAGTTTACATTAAGAGTGGTTTACAATTAAAGCAATTAATGGGAAATAACTTTGATTGCCGATAACTTTTTACGACGAGAAAATCCAAAACCAAGAGATCAATTAACCTTGATTTACGCATATAATTGGTCGGATGTACTATAGTTCTTAACTGTAAACGTTGGTTTTTGGTACAGTACTGGTTCTTTTCCTTTGAACCGTTGGTAGCAGCAAGAATCATTTTTACGTACCAACAGATCACTGTAATTTACAAATTGGTTTTTTTGGTGTTGCACCTTATTTATTAAAGGTGTATTCAATTTAATTGATGTCATAACTGTATAAGTTTTGCTTTTTCTGTCTGGATTCCAAAATGTTAGTTTATGCTAAGAAAACAATAACGCATTTTAGTAAAACATTTATTCAGCAAACCATCATGAATTGTTCAAACACTTTGAACGTTGTTTATGTATCAATAGTTCGTGGCCTATTTTGGTAATTTTTATTATAAATTACCAATCTAAATCGTCTATAGTACTGTACTTCATTTCATATAGCAAACCGATTCATATAGCATTTCGACAGAATTTCGGGTCATCTTCGGTCCAAGCAAATATAAACTGTTATGATAAAATTTTACGACATTAACAAAGATTTCAAATAGCCTACTAATTTTATACGTACTTTGTTATGCTTAAAGCGTAGCAAATTCCCTAATTAAGTTCTGTATTTTTGTGTGTATGTCTGTTGGTAACGCATTAATGTCCTTATTTCTCAGTGTTTCACGGAAAGGACACCTTGATAATGAAAATTTCAACCCAAATAAAGTGTTAAATTGTGAGGTTGAGGTAGTACCTTAAATACTTTTAACCATTGTGGAAAGTAACTTTCAATCATAGGCCTAACTTAGGGCTATGCCTTAAATCTATAAAGCATTTTTTAGTGTAATTTAAGATATGGACCAACAAGATCCAGGTGACATTTAATTGCGAAGCATTAGTTTTGGCTTGAAACTGTCAGATACTGTATTTGCGAAGGTTTATATATACAACTAGCTGGCCCGACAGACGTCGTCCTGTCCTATTGTGGTTTTATGTCACATGCTCGTTCATTTTTTTTTCAAGATGAGCTCGTTCGCATGGCTCAATCACGTCCTGGTTGAAGTTCGTTCGCTACGCTCACTCACCTTTAGGTTGGAGCTCGTTCGCTGCGCTCACTTGCCTTCAGGTTGGAGCTCGTTCGCTGCGCTCACTTGCCTTCAGGTTAGCTCGTTCGCTACGCTAACTCGCCTCCAGGTTGAAGTTCGTTCGCTACGCTCACTCACCTTTTGGTTGCAAATTAGCTGTTCTCACAAATTAAAAATAAGTATAGTGCTGCACCCTGTTGGTAAACCTATTAACTTTTTAATGCTATTGAACATCACAGAATCAAATTGTTTAGTTGCACCAGCTGTTAAGATTCTTTAATTCCATATAAATATGAGTACTCATAAGGTTAACATGGGAAACTCCAGGGCCACTGGGGCGGAGCCCTTTTGACGGATCAGCACCAAACTTCACACAAACTATCCTTGAATAATGCTTAATAATGCCTGAAAGTTTCATTGCAATCTGTCGAGCGGTTTCGGAGTCCATAAAGGACAAACAAACATACAAACAAACATACATACAAACACATTGGATTTTATATATATAGATAATAGTTTTGTCAGCATATCTGAAAGTATGCAAACCAACTGCTGTGCTTAATATAAGAAGGTTTTAACTGACTATGATAAGATCCCCGTGCGTAGAACGGGCACACAGCTAGTATTATTAGCCTATAGGTAGTAGGTTGATTGATCAGGAATTTATTAGATAAAAACCCGGTTTTAGAACATTAACACTTTATACTAAGCTACTGATAACTACAACTCTGTATTAATTTGTTTTCGAGATTTAAAGATTTTATTTTAGCATTATACTTACAAAGCTGAAGACTTAAAATGTCAAAAAAGTCAATAACTATAAAATTCAGGGAAAACAAATTACAGTATAAAAATGTTGGTTTGCAATGAAACATAATTTTGCTATTTTTGTGCAAAGAAGACAATCATGTAGTTTTTGATATTTTTATCTAAAGAACCGAGCTAACAAAAAAATTAAAACCAAAAATACAATTCTAAACCAACAATTAAAAATCACAATTACTGAACCAAAATCAATATTTATTTTTAATCCTTGATATAAAATATTTTAGTTTAAAAAGTCTAAGTAGCCTACACCACAACAGCTAAAAGTTAATTTCACAATTTTAATAAAAAATTCTGAACAGTTGTTATTAGTGTTGAAAATTATTTAAAATTCTGAACCTTTATAAAGAAAGGCAGACATGGTCATAGACCTTTGGCAAAAGTGAAACCTTGAGGTCAGTATGTA